AAAAATGCAAATTTTATTAGAATAGCTGTGACAATTTTTAGAATCTCAAACTCTTTTTTGAATTCTATAGTTGAGTTCATCAGGTGGTATACATAGAAAATAATTATTGAGCGTTAAATCTGAATTTTATTATAATGTGCTTGTCTTGGATTTAATTTTCTTTCTTTATCAGGTTGAGGGGACAGAAATTTCCAGTTAAAACCACAGACAATGCACAAGAGATCCCGTATAAGAATCTCAATTACAAAACATGTATAATCGCTTGTTTCAAATTCACTAAGCCAATAACATCTATGAGGTCCTTTACATTAGACGTGTATTTCAGATATTTGGAAAAGGAGATGAAATAAATTATAGAATATAAGATTTAGAGTTTAAGACTGAAAAGAAACAATTTAGACAAATCAAAATAAATAGGGAGTCTGTAAAAACAACTAAACATACATGCTAACCATACCTATTAACTGAGATAGAGTTAATGTTGAAATCATGAGCATGTGCATACACCCTTCGACATCTTGCTCGAGTAGCATCCTCTAAATATGCTATCTAGATAAAGGAAAAACTTATCTCAGTTATTAAGGAATACAAAGAGATGAAACGTGCGTACCAAATCTAAACTCTGAAACGCATACCTTTTTATTCGCCCCATTATATGATACGCCATTCAACATGTTTTCCGTCAATTCTAAAGAATTGCTGTCAGAAGCATTCGCCGTTTTCCCATTAATAAAACTCTTTTCGGCCAACAGTGAATTCTCTGATGATACAGATTGACCGATTTCCATTTCTGTGACTTGCTTAGCTTCATGGTCCTTGACCTGTCTTTTGACCTCCCATTAAAATAATTGCAGGGAAATAGAATTGAATTATGAACTCAGCTACCATAATATGTTTCTAACTCTAACAAATTACGTAATCGTAGTTAAAATTGAAAGCTCCTAAACTGAAATTCTTTTTCCATAGCATGTATATTTTGAATCAAGAAACAAGCCCATCTATACAAACAGTTCTAATGAGCTACCTCACAGTAGATCTAACATAGTCCCTATACCATATTATGCTTTCCTTACATCTGTCTTCAGGAAATTATACTCGAAAATCTCAGGCTCGGTAAACATTCTGTACACAAGATAAATAGAAGAGTGTTTTACCCTCCATAACTTGATAGTCTTATCATTTGCTGATAGAAGACACAACGATCCATTTGATGACGCGCACCACCTGATTTTATTGATCTTTTCTTCAATCTCAATGCTCCTCAAAGAATCAAACTGTAACAAAAGACATTACCAACAAGGTTCACAGACTCTGTAGAGTATTTCAAGATACTTGTTGTCCACAAACCAGTGTTGAGCATGCACCAACATATGCAAAAATTTGAAAATTATGAAAAAAATCTGTTGCATAGTACGTACATCGGGTTCATGACTCTGAAACTCTGTCTTGTACTGATACGTAGGATGTTTTAGCAGAGCACCATCGAGTCTCTCTAACTCATGCCGTGAAGTGAGCTCGTCTATGTCCTACAACACCAACGAAAATAAACATTAAACTAGTCGATTCGATTCGGTTTACTATTCCACTTTCCTATTTCACTGATCACATGGATGACACGTTGATTCATTAAAACATTCAATGACGCTCGT